TTATTTATTTATTTATTGCAGTACCAGAGATCAAATTCAAGACCTTGCACTTGCTAGGCAGACGCTTATGCTGCTGAGCTATCTCCCTGGCTTTATTTATTTGAAAAAATTTCATTTTAAAGAGAATAAAAAATAGATGTCATTAGAAATGATACACAATTTCAAAACCAAGCCAAACAAGGTGATAGGAATTCAACAAAGGTTGATATACTGCACATTGTTGTCTTCAATGTACTTGCTCAGATTACCATATGTAAACCTGTAAAATTGGTCAAAATATAAATTTTGAGTATAACTATTCCCTTAAAAAAACAATAGAAATTAGTAGTACAATCATCTTAGCTATCCTGCGTATATACATGCATGATTTTCCCCTTTCTTTTCTCCTTTCTCTCATCCCAAATGTTCATTCTTTGTGAGCAGTTTCTTTTCCTTTTATTATTTCTATTGTACCTTTCAGATCTTATTTACTCATTCAGATTTTTACACTAGGGAGACAATACAATGTTTACACATGTGGGTCTGATTTATTTCACTTATGAGTGTAGCCCATAGTTGGGGCACTTACTTTAAAAGGTTAATTCAGGTAGAGCCATAGAAGGCAATATTTCATATCCTAATGGGAAATCTATTTAAGAGTAAAAGAAAGTTAACAAAATTCACTCACTCACTGTCTCTTTCCTTCCTCTCCTATCTTGTCTTCTTCTTCTCTCTCTCTCTCTCTTTGGCATTTTGAGACAGAATCTTGCTATACAGTCTAAGCCTAAAAGTTGTCAGTCCTCCTGCTTCAGTCTCCTGAGTGCTGCAATTACAGACATGCAGCACCATGTTCTGCTTCTTTTATGAGTAACTAAAAATTAAAAAGAAAAGCTTAATTCTGCCATAAGTGTCAGGTGGCAAAGTTTTTCTAAAACAGTTTTGAAATACATATTATCTCTATATAATTTTAAAGTTTTTAAAGATTGATTGATAATATTGATCATATAATGGACGTGTTTAAGGGATGAAATATTTTGTTTTTTTAAATTTAAAGCTTCATCCTATATCATTCTTAATGCACATTTAGTATAATATGATGGTTAAGTTAATAATTTACAAAATTAATGTGCTAATAAAAGAGCACATGAAGTGTCTCCAAGACATTTTTAACGTTTGAAAATAGGAGTTGATGCAGTCTGTATCTTTGAGTTAGAAATGCGTTTGTATCCTTAGTATATTCCTTTAAATTGGGTTTGTACTTTATTTTACGGATTAATTTGTGAGCCAGGACAGTAAGAAATGTAATATTTTTCACTTGGCTTCACTGGTTAAGGATTATGGCACTTAGGAAAGTATAGAAAAATAAAGCATTGCATCTTATAGAAACCTTTAGCGGAAAGAAACATTCCTGTAGCAAGAAGTCCTCCCTGCTGTGACATCTGGGACCAGGCAAACAG